GGTGGTGCTATCTTATCCCTGTTCCCGGTGGTGATTAGTGTTTAGTGTTTAGAGTGGAAAAGTGCAATAATAGTACTGTAGTGGTGATGATAACGAGAACATTTAGCCACTATTCCTGAGCACAAGTATGCATTTCTGTCACTTATTCATAGCTCTGTACTCCAGTCAGTCATTATACAGTAGTTTCAATTGACTTTTCATTTTAGTTCATAATTATTTTAAACACCAATACTACTACTACTGTGTACTATTAGGTTATGTGTCGACCAAACCTATAATTAAATTTTTTTCTTTTCCCCGATGTTTTTATTAATATTATAGTTTTTTTTGTTTTGTTATCTATTCCAGTGAATTGAAATTAAATATTTTTCTGTTTATTTGACTCTTTTACTGATTAAATATATTTCTGTGTATTTCTGGTTCGCGTAGAAAAACTTTTTTGTTTATTACAAACATATTTCATGTGATAATAAACACCAGGATTTATAAGTTATATCTCGGAATTGATTTCATCGAGAAAAGTACAGTAAAATCGGTGAGTAGTTTCATCATTTTATTCGTAATACTTTATTTGCCTAGCTTAGATTATTATAGTAATTATCTTAATTGAAATATATTCCTGTTACATTAATCTATCATATTAAAACTGTTTCAAACTGAATTCTGGCTATATGCTATTAGGGATTAAAACAATATAAAGTAATTGATGTATACTATTACGCCCAATGTATTCATACTAATTACCTGTATTTAGACAAAAAAAAAGAAATAAAATAAATCTATAATAAATTCATAAAATTAAGTTATTGCCATAATTAATTCATAGGGGAGGCGTGTATGTTTAAAACTAAATGTTTGACAAAATTTGCACCCAAAAGCAAAATACAAAATTGACAGTGCCATATATAAAATAAAAAATTTAAATATTTATTGTTATATTTGTGAGTTACATGTATATAGTTATTAATGATGTCTAAATGCCGTTTATTCTTGCGAAAATGCCATTCAAATTAGTAGCTATAAAGTGCACTTACGTTAGAAAAGTTTTGTACATAAAGGTGCTGTTTAAATGAGTTTATTGTTTAACATTAATTTTATTGTTTGACGCATTAATACTACCAATCATTACAAACAACGCATATATCATGAGATAGTGTGCGGGAGAGGGAGGGAGAGTGAGCTGTAAGGGAAGGTATCATTGAAAGTACGGTACATAATGCACTTTATATGTTCAATAGACATCGCCACAATCTCCAGTACCACCACCACCACCACCATTGGCGTTGTGGTACTGGTTAGGTGCAGGTGTAACTCAATATATTTTATACACAGCATGTTTTAATGTTTTAAAATTAATCGCTAATTTTATTGTGTAAGTGCAAGGTCAGGTATAGACACTGCAACTTCTGTACCATATAAGCCATGCATAAGGGATTCCGGGCACAGCCAGTAAACAACTGGCTCTACCATTACGAGTGAGACATACACTCTCTCTAAGTCTCTCTCTCTCTCTCTCTCCGCGATTCCACTCACTCTTGAATTATACGAAAATTACTTTATTTTTTGAGTCGATCTGCACTTACAATCAAAATATGTTTAATAGTGTTGGTGTAACTCAAAAGTACCCAAAGCTATAAATTTATTTCACTTTTAATGCTATAACAGTATAACACACTTTTTTATTATATTAAAAGTTTGATTATATGCCAGAATATATCAGTTGCCAGTCGTATACCAGTCCTTACATCAAGTTACAACTGTGCTCTCTATGTGCTAATATATACAGAATAGCTATTAAAAGTTATTTACCAAGTTTCTGTACTGAATAATTAATCATTATATTCAATATTTAATATATTTCGGGAACAATACACAGAATTTCTATGCCTATTGTGTTTGTCAATGAACCACAACCTCAACAACAACTACAACATCACCACAACATAAGTGACACAAACGCTAAGAGATCTATGGAAGCGATCAAAATATGTGTGGTTTGCGGGGACCGGGCCAACGGTACGTCCACTTTTGTTTTCAAAGGTTTCTTATTTAACTAAAACTCATTATTTTGTTATAATTTCATTATGTAGGCTATAATTTCAATGTAATCGCATGCGAGTCGTGTAAAGCGTTTTTCCGTCGAAATGCGTTGAGGAAAAAGGTTAGCATATTATATCCAAATGTTTATTATGGGGATTGTATTCACGCTGTAATGTCATGCAATACTAAATACGTGCGGCCTTACAGTGCACAGGAAACGGGGGGTGTTTTAGCTAACTGTGCTAAGTATATATATGTGTGTGTGGGGGAGGTCTCGAGTGCTAGTGATAACCTAATTTAATACCAATTCGTACTGTGTTTATACAATACATAGCATTCAGATATGCCGTGTTTTAGAGCAATTGGGGGAAAGGAGTTTTTAGTACATCAGCTACTTTTGAAGGATATTCTATATATACCATACATATGCACTGCCTTTCGAGAACTCTATGTACTTTTAAGTTTGTTATTTACACTGGAATATTATCATTGCGAAAAAATGTTTCTTTAATTCATGCTAAATGTATGTTTGCACCCTTACATGTACTCAAACCAAACCACATAATCCAGGACTTCAAGTGTCCATTCAATGGCAACTGTAAGATCGACGCGATTACCAGAAAGTTTTGCCAAAAGTGTAGATTACAGAAGTGTTTTAACAGCGGAATGAAAAAAGTAAGTACATATGCACTTGTTTATGCCATTAAGGGCACTGGTAGACAGTGGCAACAACTACATATACGACAGTATTATGCTGTATACCCACAGCATTACCAGTGCAGGCAACCCATATATCCTGTAGTATTCTCACTGTAATGATATGCATGCTATATTATATTAATATTTATTAATACTGTATAATATTATTATGTATTATATGTGCATATAGTGAATGAAATGTACTAAAGAATGTTATGCTTGGAATATACAGTATATATACTGATTATGTGCTCATAACTGAATGTACTTATACTTACAATTATATGCAAACGTTTGAATGCCCTTAAAGTCCTTCATTGTAACTAACACACAGTGTGTCTGTAAATCACACATCTTATGACTGATCGATAATTTTTATGTAATCTATCGTTTAAAAAGCTGATTAACTATTAAGTAATAGAGAATTGAGATTAAAAGTTATTTAATGTTAAAATAAATGTCTATATTATACAGGACTTAATACTAACGGATGAGGAGAAGCGGATAATTAAGTTTAAAATCGCCGAAAACAAGCAGAAAAGGGTGAAACTCAATGAAAGCCCCAATAACTCGGTCGACTCCACCACCCTTTCGGCACCGCAATCGTTGCCCACATCCCTGTGCAACAACACCGGTAGCATCGCCGGTGTAGGCCCCACACTAGTTGGCGTATCCAACCATACTGCCAATCAGTATTTGTCGCAAATCATTATGAATAGTAATAACGCAAACATTAGCAATAATGTTAATATTCATAACAATAATAGCATAAACCATAATATATTACACAACTGTTCGCATATAATGTCGTATAATAATATGGATTATAATAATAAAGCCAAACGAAAGTCCGAATTCCTGGTCAACGGTACACCATCTCAAGCTCGCAACTGGTATATACATTATTGTCTCATATTTCAATATAATATTTATTTGCATCATACATTATATTCAATATTAATTACAATATATACAATGAATTCAATGATAAAATCATTATTGCACATAATAAGTTACAAATAAGTAAAAAGGGTATAATGGTTTCATATGAAAACAGAATATCCCTCATAATAGTGCAAAAAAAGTTTGTTTTGAGTTTTATTTATTAAAACCAGTTATAAGTATTTTAATAGAAACGCAAATTATCTAAATCTATGCTAATGTTAGGGAAAAATACATTTTGAATGCTTATATTTGCGTCATTGACGGCCGCTATTAATAACTAAAATATTTTGAGTTTACAAGTTTATACAATTATTTACACGTAATTCATCAGTTTAATTCTTGGGATTTACAATTTGAAAATTTATTTAGTGATTATTAGTTATAAATAAAATATTTATATTTTGTGATCATCTATTTTCACCAATTATTTCTAAAATCTTGTAAAAGTTATTTATAAAATTATTAAATTCAGTACGTACTATCATTATAGTAAACTTACCTATCATTAGTTATACAATACCGGTACTATAAAATTATACGCCATTAGTTATATTATAAGTTGATGTTATTTAATTTTGATATTGAGAAAGCACTGCTAATAATGTTAAAATAATAAATAATTATTATATTGAAAAATAAAGTCATTGAAATTATTTTCCTTTTATTAATTCAATGCATGTACACATAAGAATTACATAATTAAGAATCAAAATAATTAGTATTTTATTTTTTATTATTATAATAATTAATAATTGTCTATTACGATAAGTGATTACTCGTAAACTTTCAAATAATATACCGTAATACCAACAACAATCATATACCGTAATTATATATGAATCAATTGATTATGAAATTTATTAAAACTAATTAATTCCCAGGGACAGGAATATAATATTATCTATAAAGAGTTGGCTTTCCTATTAATTTTTAGGTGCAATTACTATAGTATTTAATTTCCAAGGTATAGATTATTAAGTTATTCAAAAAGTTCAGAAAAGACTTTTTTAGCTCAAATATAACTCAAATATAAAAACAAAAAACCATTACAACTTATTAATTGTATTTTATAAAATCAATTATTCATACGAGACAAAAACATATCATTAATTATTATAGATATTAATAATACTCGGAGTACATTAGGATCTATATGACGTAATCGATGTACTGAACTAATTATAATTAGTGTTATATTTATGAATAATGAATTGATTTTAACTATTTTTTTATACAAATGACTAAACGTTAAAGAATTTCAATGCTTTCGACATTTATTTAAATATATATTTAAATATTTATTTAAATATTTACTTTAAAAATATGTTTATATTGATAATCACCAGGAACTTTGTGAGCGATGAGAGCAACGGGTCCAACAGTAACCACAGCCGGCCCTCAGTCATCAAATTCTCGCCCATAGAGGCCAAGAAAACTAACATGAATTTAGAGGAACTGGAGTTTTTCAACAAGTTTTTCTGTCTCAACAAACTCGAGGAGATATTCCGGTCGGAGATCGAGAGCGACTCCGCCAACGAGACCGGCGACAAAGACTGTCATAAGATTGCCGTTAAGTCGGAAAACACGGACACCTCGGAGAACAGTAACCCCGCGAGCCCTGGCTGTCGGCCGGACGGCGCCACCGCCGCCATTAGTGTCCCCAAACACGTGCTCAACGACCTCGAGCTGAACCGTATGAATGAGTTGAGCCACGCGTTCAAGGAGTTGGCCGACCAGGAGCTCATAATTCAAGAGCAGGCCCGACAGCAACAGCAGCACATGGATGCCGTGAAAATGACGGACAACGCCGTGCGACGGCTCATCCAAATGATCAAAAAGATCAACGGCTATAAGAATCTGTGCCAACACGACCAGATAGCCCTGATGAAAGCGGGCTGTACCGAGATCATTATACTGCGATCGGTGCAGACCTATAACTTCGAGCGCGAGTTCTGGTCGATACTGAAGGACACGAAGAATCCGGAGTTCGAGAGATTGGATCTCTTGAAGCAGTCTCTCAGGCCATCCATTTTCGAGGCACACAAGAAGTTTATGACACAAATTGGACACGAATGGGACACCGACCTGGATATTCTTAATTTGGTATGTAGTTTGTGCCTTACTTACCATTCCCCTAAGTTTGTGTGAACTAATTATATGTGTTTTTTGTATACAGTTATCGACTATAGTCCTCTTCGACCCGAACCGACCCAATATTATCCACAAGGATATGATTGCGTAAGTGTTTTATATATAAGTTTTTGTAATTAGTATTTTGTTAATTATGTTGTTTTTTAACTTTTCACTTAATTATAATGAGATTTGTAATTCTGCATTGCATATCATGATACTACAGCTATATGTACTGAACTATTAGATAATGTATTTTAGCATATGTTTTCATTTTTATAGAAATGATATTAAGTTTATTAAACATGTTTATTCTTAACGTATTATTAGGTTAGTTTAAAAGTACAAAAATATTAATGAAAGTACAAAAATATTAATAAAAGTACAAAATATTAATAAAAGTACTGTAATATTTTTTGAGGTCTGTTATTTATTTAAAAAGTACTCTAATTTTAATGAATATGATAAGTTGAATTGAATTTTGTATAATAGAAACACATGTCATGTTTACTTTACTTGTGCTCAGGAATAGTGGCTAAATGTTCTCGTTATCATCACCACTACAGTACTATTATTGCACTTTTCCACTCTAAACACTAAACACTAATCACCACCGGGAACAGGGATAAGATAGCACCACCAACACACATATATTAATAATACCGTGCAATGTACTGTCCTTTACAGTGCACATTCAGTTTGTAGCATTCAGTACAGCGTGTATATTTAATTTCTTATTATATTCCGAGGTAGGCTGTAGTGAATAGACAACTACCCCCGTAAAGTTCCCCTGGATAATGTGTGTGCACTCAATTGCACTGGTATTTACTACGCGCACATTATTATATTAATACACATTTATTAATAGATTTACTTGTGTTTGGGTCTATAGTGTACTCAATTGTATCGGTCGATATGAGACACAATTATATCATAAACTAATTGTTTTTAATATTTAGTACATATATTATACTGAATGAAAGAAACCATTAAACTGTTTATAACATACAAATTCATACAATACAACACGAATTCAATGAGAAATGTCTACAAAAACATTGAAAACATATAGTGGTGAATATACATGGAGTACAATGGGAACTGTAGTGCACAGGTAGATGTCGGTTAGGACTGTAGTACTTGTAAATTGCATAACAATTAGGCTGCGATCTACGGCTGCACTACGAGTTTGTAGTATTTGTTATTAGTTATGGCCATAAAAATCAATTTTTATGTTTCATATAAACATATGGTTTTCCGTCGACTGTATGTATTCTCTCTGCCAATAGTTAGCTAACTATCGCATGAATTTCATATTGAGATCCGAAAGTACAGCGTTTGCGCACATATTTTGACGACAAAAAACTAACTAAAATATAATTTCCCCTTTCATGAGTTGGTATAATCCAGGTTGTTTGTACGGCATTTAATATAGCATTTATTAAA